TGTCCAACGAAAAAATCATTACGGACAATATTTACAACAGGTTTAGATAAAACCTTAAAAGAGTATGGATATGACAATAGGTTAGTTTTATATTATGATAGTGCTTTCAAGTTCCATTATAATTTACTTTATCATAACAACGATGCTTATGTGTCTTGTCGTGATTTTAGCATCTCAATGTGTAGAAATTTTCTGAAAGCGTTGAAGTGGCAATATATAGAAAACAAAGACAAAGTCGTTTATTAAAAAACATTGTTGATAATGAGTTTTTCCATAAATTCGCCTGTCATTTGATAGAAAAGAAAAGGTTGATGATAGACTGGTTTAATTATAGAGATACTGATGGTAGTGATTAAGATTAAGTTTATTGATATTATATGATTATAATATGATTAAACTACCTTAAAGTCAAATATATACTTAAAGAAATGGGAACCTTAATATAGTAAGAGTAATGGAAGGTATGACAGTATTAACCACAGAAAAGGTAGAGAAGTTGATGGAGAAAAGACAAAAAGAAAGTGATGAAGTTAAAAGGTTCATTCAGTTAAATCCATATCCATCCTATGAAGAAATGAACGATGTAATTGAAACAATGAAAGAATTAGGTTATCCAGAAAAGCCATTAATACAATGTTATCATCGTGATTTGTTAATGAAGACTTACAATGAACTATATGATGAAGGAAAAGTAATTGAATATGGAGCAGAGTTAAACAGTATAACATTCACAGGTTGTAAAAAACTTGAAGATATGAAGTTCTTTAGGAGAACAAATTTTCGAATTCTTCAAGCAATCATTAAGTTTAATTATCAGAAGCATAAGAGAAGAAACAAACATATTGACAAAGAAACAGTATTATGTTGGTCTAGAAAAATAGAACAGTGGTGGAATTATTCTAATGGTGAAAACTTTTGTATTTATGCTGAGTTTAGTAAATGGTAACCATAAGCAATATTATTGGTTTATTCATATTAACAACTTATAATATGATTAAACACTTGTATCCCCCAGAAACCCGTATAATGGTCTGAAACCTGAGTTTTGAAAATGTCAAAATGTTAGACCGTTCTTAAATGAAAAAATGTAAAAATGTTGAGAAATTTTAGAAAATCCCCACAATCAACCTTGGTGTTTTGAACAAAATGAGCCTTCTCTTGAAGGATTTTGCATACGGAAGGTGCACTGCAGCTAGGGCCCCTTGGCAAAATCTAGGATGCTTTGCGCTCTTGAATTGTTGCTTGTCAAGCCCAAAGCCACTATTCTTTCTCAACCTCGAAACCAACAATATGGTCGCCCTCACGCAAATCTCAACGTTGTTGCGCTCATCTAAGGCACGAGTGATTGCTGGCGCCGCAGTTCGGTGGGCGTCGAAGATTGCAAGAGTTGCCATCCCAAACAAAGAGATGGTACATCGAATTTCCTTTGTGGGTGCCAAAGGTGATCACCCTTCGAATGCTGAGAGGGACATGCGTGTGATTATTCGACATCGCGAAGAAGCCCTGCATGCTCACATCTCAACTGTGAAAGTCCGGCTGTACAACCATGCCCAAGGAGAAATAGAAATGTGCGACTTGTCAGGTGTTTTCCCTGATGACCTCTGTGGCGCTATATGGTCCCTCGGTGAAGATGTCTTTCGCCAATGCTTCTGTGGTGACACAGATATTGCAGCCTACTGGCAACACCACATGGACCACTGCGAGTGGTTCAGGAAGCACCCCGCATCAAGACTTCCGTGCAAAGCCGCGTGGACTTTTCAAGAGTATGCTTTTATAGCCTACACAGTGGTTCTGTCGTTTGAATCTGTTGGATGCAAACACACAACTTGTTTCCAAGGGCTGCTCCAACATTCAAGGATAAACTTTTGCCGCTGTCCATCTATGGGGATGAGGTCGGTGCCCTTCCACCAGCCCTGGCTCCGGTACTTCATGACAGCTGTTTACAGGGAACATCGAGCTGTGGAAGAAACATTCAATGATTTGCTAGCAGCATTGGTGCCACGGCTTGTCAGGATGGTGTCGCAGGAGCATCAGTTTTTCGTGGTCAAAGAAGGGCTATCAATGGATGTTCTCGTCCGTGCAAGGGGACCTGAAGTACATTGTATCAAATTTTAGCCTTTTCAATTACAGGGCAAACCTTTGTTGCTCGCGGTGCAGTGTGTGCAAGGTCCATGACGATGTGGGTATGACAGTGGCAGATTTTCGGCCAACCGCTCGCCACTTACAAACAAGGTACAGGCATGAAGAATACATGGATGCCACCCTGGAGCAAAACAGAACCTTGGTTAACTTAGCCATCCCTAGTCAATGTTGGATTGGGTGAGCGCGCATGTGTTTCACAACAACCCCGTCGATTCTAAGGATCAAATATTTTCCAAGTCCCTGGATGTCGATCTGACCGCTTCATGCATGATTGCCTTCACGGACAGTATCTAGGAACAGGCAAATTGGCAAACGGATCTGCGCTTGTTTATCTATGTGAACGAGGTGCATTTGTACCAGGGGTGGCATCGGTCAGTACAAAGACATCTTGCGATTGAAGCTGAGACTTAGCATTTTGCCACTGGAAGCGTGCCAAGCACCTGCAATCTACGCAGCCTCGCTTCACGCCTGCACGCCTATCCCGTACATCCAGACAATCGTTTCCATGCTTGGCGGCCAAGGGGATCGCTTCAAAGATTTTGACTTTTTGGATCGCCCATGTGAGTATGGAATTTGCATCCAAGCCTGGGGCATCATCACTGGGCAAACAAGTTGCAACATGCATGTGGGCATACGCACGGAGCCTCCAGATCATGGATGCATCCCCCACACTTATGAGCGAAAAGGCGGCGTCCGAGTTTGAATCAGTCATCATGCTTCATCTTCGGACCTACGCTGAGCTACACAGGTTGAGCGGCGAGGCTGCGCCCAGCATCATAAACCGCTGCATGTGGATGCTGGCCCCGAAGCATCATCATTTGCATCACTTGGCGAGCGATGTGCGGACGCAACGTGTCAACCCCAGAAGCTTCACTCTTCTTTGCGGGGAGAGCTGGATTGGGCTTATGGGCAGGGTATCCCGAATGTGCCACAGAAGCAGTGTTTCGCTAAGAGTGGCCCAAAGATACATGTGCATCCTCTCCTTTCAGATGCAATCGGCTAAGCCCGCGGCAGTGTAGCACCAGTGCCACCGATGCCCGGCAGCCGAGCCAAAAGACAATCATGAGTGTGGGGCCCCGTGGGCCCTCATGGCGAGGGGTCGAGTCTTGCATGGGCCCTCGGGGTTCAAAGTTTGACGCCCCATGTCAAGACGACAGCCCGTCATGTGTTTGGAGCCTTTGGGATATATATATATATATGTTCATAAACAAAAACCAAATATGATTCATATGTATTTGTTTGCTCGGGAGTATAACGATGCCCCTCTGAAACCCGGGAAACGGAAACTGACGCTTGGGCCCGGGCCACGGGATATGTGACATGAGGCAAACGTCTCCAAACCAAAACAGCAGCTTGGAGAGAACAAAGCGCCACAAGCATTTGACTATGAACAACTGTTGACTATGAAAACGCATTGTTTTGTAACAACCCCCTGACTTTCGCCACAATATCTCCAACAGGTTCACTGCTTGTAGTTCATAAACAACACATTTGACGTCATGAACTACAAGCAAATGCAGGAACAGTAACACAACAAGCGCCACACGGAAACAACCTTCTCAAATATCAGTATGTGGGGAATGCAAGTAGATGAATGATACCGAAGTTGCACAACCAGCAAAGAGGGCCAGCCTTTTTGCTTCTGCGCCTTCTGCTGAAATCATCAAGCAACTGGATTGGTCTTTTGACTCTCTCCAAAAACAATGCTTGCTGTGTGTGGAAACAGTGATTTCGCGAAAAAGTGAAAAGTTGAGGGAACAACCGAAGCGCAAACAAAAACACGAGTGGGGCAAACCTTCCAAAGCACTGCCTCGCACGAACTGGGTCGGGAGCAGTAGGCTGAGTCGAGGGTTGATTGACCAAGTGACGGTCGTTAACATCGGGCCTTAGACACCCTGCTTGAAAAAAAAGGCTCCTAGCTGCCCTACTTGAAGGGGGACAGCTTGGGCAAACCAAAGGGAAAGTCACGCAAACCTGTGAACAAACAGCAGTTGCGAAAGCATGCCAAACACTAATAGTACACTCAAAGTTCATCAGTAACAAGAGATGCAGGGCATGGGCTTCTGGCATTCCCCTTTGGGCGTGTCTGTTTTTAAGGGAACCCCCCACCATGATGTATTTTCCTTTTGTGCTCCTTGAAGCCCAGAAAAGAAGGGGTATCAAACCCATCCAAGACTCTCGGCAAGCCAACAGATGGCCCAAGGTGCAGCCAAGCAACGCTAGGCCGGAATAGCCGTTGACAGTCTGGCGCAGATCAGCATTTGAGAATTTTCCCAAAGGGTCCAAGTACCTTCTAAGGAGGTACTTAGACCCCTTTTTACCCCCCAAAAGCCATCCTCATGAGGTACTTGGACCCTGGTAGTTTTGCGATCCGTTGCCCCAGCGAACGCCAACCAGATCATCCTGAGGGTTTAAACGGAAAAATCTGCTTGGACCTACCCTAACAGCCAAAGTCAGGGACCCAGAAGAAGTGGTCGCATGGTCTTGGCCAGAGCTAACACACGATATCGTCAGTATGTGCTTTAGCTGTATCTTGGAGTTGGATGGTCTAAGCGTGCACACATGTCCACTCTGATCCGATGACAGACCATCTTGACCGCGCTTCTCTCATTTGAATATACTGATAGTCTGACACATGTTTTCAGTACCAGTGGCATCAGTCCGTATCATCGAAATCTGCCCGAGTTTCGAGAGCACGTTCGAAGGATCAAAAACTGCTCGGCGAATTAGAACTCGTTGCATTCCTTCAGCACTGCACTTCTCTACCATTCCCGCACCGGTCTCACCCCAAAGCTCTTGCACTGACTTGTGGGCTGAGGTCTCCAGAATCTTCCCTGCGTATGGCAAACATATGTTGTTCAAGTCAGACTTGCAAAGTAGACTTGCAAAGCTCGGCTCCAACAGGTCTCCTCCCAACGGCCAAGTTTGAAGCTCGGCACCCTGTAGCCACATGGCCTCATGGGCTTTCTCAATGACCATGAGTTATGATCATCGCCCACGTTGATTGAAAAGGTCCAACCCTGCGTGGGCAGCCCATGAAGAAGGAACAAACACAGGGATTCAGAGTCCCACTTCGCCAAAGCACTTATCATTTGTGGTTGAGGTTTAAATTGCCGACAATAACTACATTCAACCAAGGGAGACATAGACAAAAGCGAAGCAAATCGCCAGTGCTGGGGATCCAGATCGTCCTCCTTGAGCAAATTTGCCAGAAAGGCAAAACTTGTTGATTGCCAACACAAAACGCTCAGAAGATGAACAATCACATCCCCAAAGCATAGACACCCTTCCCCCACTTACGGTTTGTTTAATTTGCTTTGAAGCACTGTTTGGGCAAACATGTACCTAAACATGACTAAGTCACTTACAACAAAAAGCCAACAACAACAAAAAACAAAAACATATGCGATACATCTCGTGAATTTGCCTCCCCGAATCGGGGAGAACAAAAAGAACGTGAAACTGGCCTGGCTCATGTCCACTGGGCTGGGCAGCGTCCAGGAAGCCTGGCCCAGTCGCACCGTCCGCCGGTGGTACCCCCCTCAAAAGAGGAAGGGACGAAAACGAAAGAGTCTGAGCAAGGTGTAGCAACTGCACCTTAAGAGGTTTCAATCTGTAACCTCACCCAAAATGAAGGTTCCGTTCACGTCCATTCTCTGTGTTTAGCTTGTGTCTGGCTATGTCACCTCATTTGATCGACAATTTCAGCTGTGCATCAGACAAGTGGGCGAGAGGGCTAGCACACACACACAAGACTTGTGGGTTGAAAGGACAATGGCATTTGTGGCGTTCGTAGCTGCAAGGTGTTGTGGGATCTAGCCTCTCAAATCTGGATTTGCATTTGCGACGAATCACCCCAAATGGTTGAATATATGGTTGCATCAACACGAAGGGTGGCCCAAAATGAGCCTGACACTGAAACATCAGGTTGACTTGAAATGCGCGAGCACTGGTCCCTTCAATTTCGGCTGGCACTCCCTGTGGAGCGATTACGACCCAGTACAAATCGCAGTCGGCATCTAAAGCGAAATATCTAACGTGAGAAGCAACAATTAATTCTGCGACCTGGACCCTCAAACTACCCTTTAAACATGGGATATCGCTCATAATTTTGGGGGTCAAACCCATTTTTAAGTTGGACATTTTGCGGGTTCAGGGAGACGCACAAAGGCCCCAGGCAGCACCCTTGTGCCTTGCCGAAGCTTGCCATGCTCATCTGCCGGAAACGGAAGCTGAAGTCACCTGGTACCAGAGCCGGAGCGAGCAGAGCGAGCGGAAGAACCACGGCATGCCTTCGTGTGACCTGTTGCCGGTTAGGTGCCGGTATGTTTATGTGGAGCGCCAGAAACTTAACATGGATGGCAAAGCGTTATAGCATGTATAGACTGAATCAGGGATACCCACATAAGCGGGCCACATCGACTTGATATTCTGGAACGTCTTTCCCCCAGCCAATATCTGAAAGTTATTGGACGCAAATTGCAAGGCATGAAACGATTCTTCCAATTGGGAGAGACTTTTAGAGAAACCGAAAGCCGACTTAGCGGGACATGTGCAGGGCTGTTGTCTGCAAATACAAAGCGTATGATTCGACGACTTGAAGGGGGACAACCCTCATTCCTAAGCCCCTCTTACTGAAGAATGATCGTCTAAGGAGGTGTTCCATTAAATTGCATATCAATTTGTGGCAGAGGATGCGAGAGGCTTTGCACAATCGGTTCTTGGTCAATTTCTGGTCGTCTCGCCATGGTTGGACAACTTCAAGGTGGGGATCAGCCGCAGGGTTTTGGCGCATGCTGGTGCTTAAAGGAAACCATAGGGGATGGTTTATAGAGGATATTCCATGTCTCATTCCCTGCCTATCGCTCCAGCAACAAAAAAACAATTGCAAATATCCCCCAAAAGCCAGACCAATGTTCCACCCATTTTCACCGTTTCCACCGTTGAGATCCGCAAGATAAGCTCATGGCCTTCAGCTTGGATGCTGAGTTCAGTCTGGTTGTACTCAAAGGAGGAGAGCCTCGGGAGTCGGGGAATGACCTTCGAGTTATCGAATGGCTGCGCAAAATGTCAAAATCGTTGGCAGATTCGGGCCCAAGGGTAGGCCAACACGCACGCCTTTCCCAACCCATCTTTGCAAATACCTGGAGTCTCCATGACCCTTAAAAAATGGGTCACCGACCCCATGATTTTGGGTAGTCTGACCCACCATTTTTTAAGGGTCAGAATCAGAATCTAGGTACATTTGCGGCGACAATTCCCCAGCCAAAGCGGGGTTCGGCGCACCCTTTTCGAAGCCGAGCCTGGCGAACCACGTATGTTACCCTGGGCCACCAAGGTGCTCTCAGAGCTGCAATTTGAGGCGTTCGAGGTGTGTAACCTACCTGAACCCTTGAAAATTCCAACTTAAAAATGAGTTTGAGCCCCCAAAATTGCAAAATTATGGGGTGATATCCTATTTTTGTGGGTAGTTTGAGGGTCCAGGTAGTTGTAGAGCCCACCACCACGGCAACTCGAGCACACACACACACACGTGTACCCCCTCGACATCCAAAACGTGAAGTCGAAGTAAAGACCAACCCAATGCCGGGGAAACACATGGCGGCCGCTATGTACCTCACGAATGCCCCCCAACCTCGCATTGCCAATCTTGGCTCACTTACAATGTTCCAAGTCTCATCGATTTAGATTTGAGTTTGGCCCACCTTGAACGTTCTGTGTCGGTGATCTCCCAAGTTAGGGAACAGGTCAAGGACTGGACATCCTATTTTTGCAAACGAGCCATACCCGAAGCTCTTACGGGCTCAAAGAGGGCCCAAATGCAATTAGCGCACGCTGCCCCAAGCGTGTCCTCTTCCAAGCTGCTGCTGGGGTAACAGCTGCATAGCCCTCTGCTTGTCAAAGGCCGGCAAGACCTCTGCAGGAGACGTGCCAAGTGTGCTGGTATCTGTCTCTATTTCCCTCCCCCCCGGTATCTGTCTGCGTGTCCGCGACTGACTGTTTCTATGCCCTGCAACGCGGATGTGTGGGTGTGGCTCAAAATTTAGGAGCTAGGACTACGCAGGTTTTGGTCTTTGCTTCCATGTACCCAGGGGCCATTTGGGGTATATGTTTTCGAGCCACAGCCGCGTGTGTGTGTGTGTGTGTGGGTGTGTGTGTGTGTCTGCGGTGCGTGTGCCTGTCTCTGCGGGTCTGCTCCCGCCTCTGTCTGTTCGTGTGTGCATGCATGTGTGAATGGGAGCGCGCGCGCGGGCTTGTAGCCTTTTTGCTTGGAAACTAAAAGACACCAAAACCCAAAAACCACCATTATGGGGGGTCCAACTTAAAAAATGAAAAGCCTCCCATATTCTCCCAACTGAACCAAATGTTGGCAGGTTACAACTATAGACTATGTGGCTAACCGCTTGCTAACTTGGCTGATTCAAGTAGCACGGGTGTCCTCCGCAACAAGAAATTCTCTAAAATCGGGCTTTTGGGGTTACATCTGCATCTGCAGGGCCTTACCCACAAAGGGGATTATCCAAATCAACTGGACGCCCAACATGTATCCGTTTAGCATGCCTCTTGTGCACCCCAGGCCTAAGCCAGTTGGCCAAGGGCACTGCATTTTTAGTAGCTTGTTCAAGGGAAACAAATCTCAAAAATAACCACTTGTTGAGAAGCACTGGTTACATAGTTGACAGAAAGGTCCGAAAGATCCATTATTGTTTGAAGGTTGTGAAAGGGAAACAATCATCTAAACAAAACAGTTGGAAAG